AGCCGGTTGGGTTCATCCAAAAATTTGGAAACTGGTTGCCGCACGATGTTGAAAGGCGTTTTACCATCTGTGAAATGCTGCTCGCAAGACAAAAAAGCAAGTCATTTTTGGATCGAATTGTTACGGGCGATGAAAAGTGGATCCACTACGATAACCCAAAGCGAAAAAAATCATACGTTCGACGCGGCGAACCAGGACCATCGCAAGCAAAGGAAGATATTCATGGTTTCAAGGTAATGCTCTGTGTTTGATGGGATCAAAAGGGTATCGTGTATTATGAGCTGCTGGAACCGGGTGAAACAGTCAGAGGAGATCGCAATCGACTACAACTGATGCGATTGAAGCGAGCATTGGACAAAGATCGGAAAGAATGGAGGGGAAAACACAACCGGTTAATTCTTCAACATGACAATGCTCGGCCACATATTGCAAATGTCGTCAAATAATACTTGTCGACAATAGGATGGGAAGTTCTACCCCACCCGCCGTATTCACCAGACATTGCTCCTTCTGATTACTACTTGTTTCGAACGATGTAAAACGAATTGGCAGGCAAACGCTTCACTTCTTCGGAGGAAATCGCAAATTGGGTCGGTTCGTGATTTCGTTCAAAACAAGAACCATTCTTTTGGCACAGAATCCATGAATTGCCTGGAAAATGGGAAAAAGTAGTGGCTAGCGATGGACAATACTTTGAATAAAAAAATATGTACCATCCTCTTAAAATAAATGCCCAATTTCAGTGAAAAATCCTTACGTTTTAATTTATACTTCCAATACGTACATTATATTGAGATATTTTTAGCCAGATATTGTCATAGACCAAGATCCACTCTAACAAGTACCTTTTTTTTGCTTTATGTCAGAAAATTATATTGAACTATGCAGCTAGACATACACTAAACAAATAATTTTACGTTTATTACTTCAGCCACCCCATTCGCGAAATCTGCACTATTATTCGCGGATATAAAACACATTAACTATTGAAGCGAGCCGCATGTTTGATTTTCTGGATAATATTTTGTCAGTACTCAAATATTCTGCATGCAAATCCGCATTGTTTACAAAATCTGCACGAATAAATTATGTAAAAAAAACTATCAACTTTTTTTGTCAGCTTTGTGTCTGAAATTTTAACCATCGATTATTTATCATAATATAACACTAAATTATAAAAATCTGCACTTGAATACACATATTAACAGGGTGAGCCAGTGAGAAATAGGGTCCAAAATTTTAGATTCATGTTTTGGTTTTTATTCTTCCACCCTTTGCACGGACCACCAAACGCAAACGTCGAAAAAACTATTTACGAGCGGCACGCACCATTTCGATTGGAATATCGTTCCAAATTTTGATGATTTTCTTTTTGAATGAAACCAAAGTTGATCCAAAGAATCCAATGGATTTAGGTCTGGAGACGATGGCGGCCACCGGCCACTCATCTTTATCCGTGCCGAAATTATGCCCAAACTGTCACACTGCTTGCGCCACGACGGAATTCAATGTAATCTACACTAAGTTGCCGCCAAATAGTGAAAAGACTTTTGCTCAGTTGCAACCAACGGACTGGAACTCCATAGTTGTCCGTAGTGTCGCTAGCAGTGCTAAAGTTTTGCATTTTATACAGTCTCTTATGGGGCATAATTTCGGTGTGTCTTTATCAATAAAATCAGGCACATTTTCTCTTAACCACTGTTGCACTTTGTTTGCTCGATGGGCCGGTGCGCAATCTTGCTGAAACACCCACGGTTCATCACCAAACACAGCTTCGGCATGTGGCAACATGTTTTTGCGCAATATTTCTTCTTCATACACAGCTGCGTTAATTTTAACGCCTTTTTCAACGAAAACAAGGGGACTTTTGTGGCCGGCCGAAACGGCGCCCCAAACCATGACACTCGACATTTTGAAATCGTTCAATGACTAAATCACCTTCAGGAATTTCCTCAATTGTTGCTGCATAAATACGATCATTTTGCGCATTGAGACTTGGCTGCAAAAGGAACAACTTCTCGTCTGAAAAAACAATATCTGAGGTTGCGTGTCGGCGTACAAGATCTTTGCATTTTCGCTTTCTGTCTTGCTTATTTTTGATTGTCAGACCATGTTTTCGGGATTTTTTTAATGGTTTCACTCCCAAATCTTCTTTCAACACTCGTCTCATTGAAGTGCGACTGATATTGTGCTCACCAGCCAAGATTCTAGCGCTTCTTTTGTTGTTCCGACGAACTCTTTCTCGTACCTTTTTGATCAGATCTTTTGTTCGCACAGATCTTTTTTTGCCTGGTTTTCGCTTCAAATCGACTGTTCCACGTTCCTTGTATCGTTTTATGGTGCGATGAATAAATAACAAATTGATATTGTCGGCCTGAAGCTTCCGAAAAATATCAACTTGTCGCAAACCTTTTTTATGCAAATTCAAAACGAGTTGACGTTTCACATCCATTGCTGTTGCAAAGTAAACAAGAACTGCGCAATAATGTGCATCATCACAGTGCATAGCCAAAACATGAATAAACATAACGGTAAACAAAAGAGTGATTGGAAAGTATTGTAGTTGTGGGCTACGTAGTTACGAAAAAAATATCAGTTTCACTGGCCCACCCTGTATTGTTTTCTGCATAAACAAAATTACCTGTCTGTATAAATTAAATATATCGATAGGAGAGTATGTTTTTGTTCAGCCTTAACTTTATTACTCTGAATAACATACTCTCCCATTTTTCAGACACTTTTTTTGTTGCTCCAATGTCCGTTTTCACTACTTTTCGTTTTCTCTTCTTTATTTGTTCTTGAATTTTTTTTCTTATTGTGTGACCTTTTTGCTTTGTTAATTTACTGTTCTATTTTTGTATATTTTAATGATTTTCTATTTGATTGTGTTTTTTGTGTGTTTGTTTTGTTTTTATGTGATTTGAACTTTACCTTTTTTTGCACTTCGTTGTGTGTTTTATTTTAATCAGATATCAACTTTTTCTGATTTTACTGATTTTTTTTATTTATTCTCATATTTTATTTAATCAGGCATCAACTCTTTCTGATACTACTGATTTTTTTAAAGATCTTTTTGATATCGCTTTATGAATGCTTTATGAACGTTTTATGATCGTCGTTTTTTTATTTAATTTTCGCTTTATGACCGCCTTTTTTGTCGTCAGCCCCAATGTAAACGAAGTGAAACTCAATGGTTCCAAAATAAGACTGATTCACTTTATTAAATTCAATTAAGATGTGTTACAATTAATATGCTATTTGAATGTATACAATGCAATAAACGAATGTGTACAATAATATCTAATGTGCAGTATAATAATTAATTCTTGGTGTCGAATCGACATCACAATGTATGTGATATTCATGCGGCAACCATATGAGTATGCGTAGGCGGTATAGAGAGCCGTTCCGTCTACATACTCAAGAAAATGGCCAAACTTGGAATTGGTAAACAGATGCTCGAATGACAATGGTCATTTTTAAAAGATCGCACTCAAATCACAAGAGTTGGTAATAGCTTTTCAAATGAAATACCCGTAACATCAGGTATTATACAGGGAGGACACCAATCACCAACCTGTTTCGCCACATTTATTAATGACCTTCTAGAAGAAATCAAAACAGTAACAGTCGCAAACTTCGCTGATGGCACCAAGTTATATACACATATAGGTGGGAACATTTTCAGCATAATTTTGCGGCCACTTGGAAAAACATGTATTACGGTCCCCAGATTTAAGATATAAAAGAATTTTTAACTTGCTATTTGATATAAGACAGCGACTTGAAAATAAAACGGGTCCATTTTACTGGGAAATCATAAAAAATTGCAGTTATCTGATCACTGTGAAAACTTGTGAATCATATTTTCTGTCCAAAATACATAATATCACCAAGTTTGATGAAATTTCAATAGAAAATAACTTATATTTTAAATAAGAGTACCGCCCATACAACATTTTCGATTTTTTTGTTAGTGATCTCTCTTTGTCTCTCTCTGTCATTAGCACACCCTTAAATGATCGGCTTAAGACCGAATTTGTATAATTTAAAATCGAAAAAATGATATTTTGGAACTGTTTTTTGCTTTCAAGTTGAGTTCTTTATAATGAAAATAATTTTAAAGAGAAAGAAGACAATGTATTCATTGTAGAATAGGGTAAGCCACCTGTGTTGGCAATCAATTACAATCGTCTAAAGTTATGCAACATACAAGAAGTGCAACTGCCGTTGAGGAATGTAATAAAAGAAATTATTGAAATGTTATTCATTTGAAATTTCTGATAACGATGATAAGACACAATTCATTATAAAGTCATACAAAGTTGAATAAAAAGAATATTGATCAAATTACAATTTTCAATTGAAACTCATTTAAATGATAATTGTCAAGTGAATTAAGTGGAACGGTTGTTTCTTTAAAAAACTTTTCGTTGAGAAAACATGTCCAAAATATAAAGTCTCGTATGAATGGGTAAGGATAATCATGACCTCCAAACATTCTTTAAAAAAATACCAATACAAGACGGTGAATTCTATGGAACTTCTACGGAATTTCAACGGAACTTCCACGGAACTTCCACGGAATTTCAACGGATCTTTTGTGGAACTTCTACGAAAATGGAACGGAAACTCCGCGGAAACGGAACGGAACGGAAAGAGTGGGAGTAATGTCAGTCACCCGACATTTCATAGAAATAATAATAATAATAATACACCGCCAAGAACTGGCTGTCTTTATTTAGTCATAGTAATAAGTGTTGGCAGGGAAAAGGTATGGATCATTGATCGGAATCGGTCTCACTTTGTGTGTATGATTTGAATCACCGAAAAAAAAATAATTAACATAAAAATCACAAAAATGTTGGCCACATTTAAAAAAGCTGGACCTTTTTATCGAGCTAACTTATAACGTATATGCACAACTTAATTTGATTATTGTTATGAAATATGATATGCTAATTTAAAATCAAGAGACTACAATTGAAACAACCTTCTCGCTTGGTCGACAATTACTAACTGGTTTGTTTTATTGAAAATCAGTTTGTTTTATCCTGATGGATTAAACATCCATTCACAACAATTATGAAATTGAAATCTAACTCTATAATACTCAATTCAAAAAATTCCAAGCAAAAGTCGAGTAATTGACCACAATCCATTGTCGTTCTGATCTTTATTACCTAAAAATGAAAGAATTTTCAAAGAAATTGTGATTATCAATTAATAACTAACTGTACGTGGTTTGGTAAAACTCGTCTGATTGAATAAATTACTGAATTTTTGGCTCAACAGCGAGCAAGTTTACAAATGATCGCAAAATTGCGTAGGGGGTCCCTGAAAAAATACCTTTTCCCTGGAGGTTCCCTCACGATCACAAAGTTTGTAGGAAATGGATGAAAATCGATTTTTTTTGCTCTTCACTTTTTTGACGAAAAAACCTTGGCAAATCGAAAAAAAATTCTCGGCCAAAAAAAAGTGAAGAGCAAAAAAAGGCACTAATTTCCAAAATTGTTGAGGGTTCCTCAAAATATTTTAAGAGGGAGGGTAACTCTAGGAAACAGACACAATTTTTACTCATATGACAAATCAATGCACACAAATATTTTTTTACGCCTTCCATAGATTAGTTGTCTTTACTTCAAATTAAAATAAAACTGTAATAATTACCATTCAATTCAGCTTCAATTCTCAAGACTTCAGCAGCTTCATTCTCACCTGGAATAAAAATGGAATTAATTTCATTATGAGATGTTTGAAAGTGTGAACAATTAAATATACCATATTCGATTGCTACAGCAATTGGAGTTTCTCCTTTGTCATTATAAACGAATACATTTGCTCCATTTTTGATTAGCAATTGGATTTCTTTCACGTTGCCTGAAACGAGATTTAATTGATGTTTAAACTTTATGGAAAGAGAATTTGAGCCGTCGAAAATCTCTTTTAGAGTCAAGCATACATGGACAAGGGGGGGGGGGAAGTTTACTCAATTTTCTTTCGGGTATCGAATATATGATTGTACCAAAGAGATTGATATTTCTAGGGTAATTTTAGGGCGCTCTATCGATTTGCATCACTAATTTTTTCATCCAACCCCCTTCCTCCTTTTTGGGGGGCTATGTTTATTTTTTAAACCCCAAAATATATATAGACTTCCATTTCAGTGTCAAGATGTAAAACACCACATGAAACTTCACATCTACCTAGGGTACTTTTCAGCCCTTTATCGGTTGGCACCATTGGTTTTGACCCTTCTCGTACCCCTCCCCCTTAGGGGGTGTTCTAGTTTGAAACTTCGGACCCATATTTAAGGTCTTTGGAGTGGAAAAACACTCATGACCCTTCACCCATACCCGGGGTATTTTTCAGTGCTCTATCGATTGGCATCATTGGTTTTGACCCCCCCTCGTATCCCTCCTCACTTTGTGGGGCTACCTATTTTTCTTACCCCCCCAATTATTTGTAGACTCCCATTTGAGGGTCAAGGACACGAAAACCCCCCCATACTCAAGATATTCTTTGATGCCCGATCGATTGGCATCATTAGTTTTGACCCCCCAACACCCCTTACCCCCTTTTGGTTCCTATACACCGACCCCGATTTAAGGTCATTGGGGGTGAAATACCCCCGGGGTGTGTTCTTACACCCAAGGTAGTTTTCAGTGCTCTATCGATTTGCATCATTAGTTTTTTGACCCAAACCCGTTATTCTTAAGACAGTGTCAATCCCTCGATTGGAATTATCCGCAGCTGAATTGTTATCAAGATTGACGAAAAGTGTTATGGAATCAATGGAGTGGCCAAAAGCGGAATATGTATTATGGGTCGATTCAAGTCCAGTATATTATTGGATGAAAAAGATTCCACGGGAATTAAAAACATACGTGGGAAATCGTGTGGCATCCATTCAGGAAAATACGGACATAAAATGCTGGCGCCACATCGATGGCAAGGAGAACCCAGCGGATTTACTCACTAGAGGAGTAGCAGCAGAGGACTTAATTAATAATTCATTGTGGTTACATGGTCCGGAATGGATTCTGGGGCCAGAAAATACATGGCCTAAAAGCATACATGGGCAAGGGGGGGGGAAAACTTTACTCAATTTCAGTTTGGGTATCGAATATATGATTGTAGCAAAGAGATTGACATTTCTATGGTAATTTTGGGGCGCGCTATCGATTTGCATCACTAATTTTTTCATCCGACCCCCCCTTCCCCCTTTTTGGGGGGGCTATGTTTATTTTTTTGGCCCCAAAATATATACAGACTTCCATTTCAGTGTCAAGATGTAAAACACCACATGAAACTTCACCCCTACCTAGGGTACTTTTCAGTCCTCTATCGATTGGCACCATTGGTTTTGACCCCCTCTCGTTACCCTCCCCCCTAGGGGGGTGCTCCGGTTTGACTCTTCGGACCCATATTTAAGGTCTTTGGAGTGGAAAAACACCCATGACCCTTCACCCATACCCGGGGTATTTTTCAGTGCTCTATCGATTGGCATCATTGGTTTTGACCCTCCGACCGACCCCTCCTCACTTTGTGGGGCTACCCATTTTTCTTACCCCCCAAATATTTATAGATTCCCATTTGAATGCCAAGGGCATGAAAAACACCCCCTCAATACCCTCCCAAACTTAAGGTATTTTTTGATGCCCGATCGATTGGCATCATTAGTTTTGACCCCCCAACAACCCCTTACCCCCCTTTTGGTTCCTATACACCGACCCCGATTTAAGGTCATTGGGGGTGAAATACCCCCGGGGTGTGTTCTTACACCCAAGGAAGTTTTCAGTGCTCTATCGATTGGCATCATAGGTTTTTTGACCCAAACCCCTTATTCCCTATATACACCCCCGTCTATCTATACCCAAACTGGTTCTTGATCCCAATTTAATGCTCGGACCAAAAAATTATGCACAATAATGCACTATAATGTTGTTCATAATGATGAGAGAAACTTTTTGGGTCACCTGCCCTCCAAGTCCTCCCACCCCCCAGGGGGTTCGGGGGTCAAAAACCCCCAAGGTGTGATTTTTTTTACCTGAAACCCCGAAATGCGGACTCAGCGTGCCAAAATACCTTAGAGTTGATATTTTTTTCATCTACTATTATGTCTAGCCCCAGCAGAGTTTGAAATAATGATTAGTTTTTTCAATTCATTTATTTGAAAATCAATTACCATTAGTTAATGTAAATTGAAATTTTCAATTTATTTTTTTTCAATTCATTAAATTGAATTTTCAATTACCATTTACATTCAAATTGAGAAATGAATTGAAATTAATTTCAATTGCGTGAAGTTGCAGAGATTCTAGTTGGCTCGCATATTACTACTCTCGATTGTTTTCAATTTTTTACCATCAATTCATTTATAATAACATTTTGAATGTAAATTAAAATGTATATATATTTAAAATTTAATATTAATATACAAATTAAAAAAATTAAAATTTGAAACTGTTTTCATTGCTGCGATTTCTTTTAAACTTATTGACACAGCAACCGTTATTGTTGAATGTGCGCATTCAAATATTAACCTCACTTTTGACATTAGCTATGCACAAATGCCGCATAAGGCATCAATCTCTGCAACTTCACGCAATTGAAATAAATTTCAATTCATTTATCAATTTGAATGTAAATGGTAATTGAAAATTCAATTCAATGAATTGAAAAAAATAAATTGAAAATTTCAATTTACATTAACTAATGGTAATTATAATTGAATGAATTGGCATTGAAAAATTCGAAACACTGAGCCCCAGTGACCTCCATTTGGGGTCAAATCCTACAAAGTCGATTTTTCAGTTTTTCGGTCCGGAATTTTGCACCAAAATGTATGACCAACTATAGCTAATTTTATGCGCACATTTCATTTTTGCCATTGGGCACCCCCTCCCATCACTCCCATGGGGGGTCTCAATACAAAATTTACGAAAGTTTTAAAAAGTACCCCCAAAATAGTAATAAGGGGGGTTTAGAGAGAATACAATGCTTGATGCCCAAAGGTAGTTTTTCACAAGGAATCCGAATATGCAAGTAGTTTTGGGTTTGGATAGGGTTTGGCCCTTATTTTGGGGTACTTTTTGAAAGGATCGAGTACTATCTGTCAAAATATTTCCCCCTATGCCAAGCGAAATTAATTCGATATACGGCGCTGATGTAAATGTCACTCTGTCATTTCACAATAATACATTTTTTGGCTTGACAATATATAAGCTCTTCATTTAAAATGCATACACATTCATAATTATTGAATCGTTGAAAAAAATATGTCATAAAATATTTTTCTAACATTTTTCATTAAAAAACTTATTAAAAAATTTTTTTTATAAAAAAATTAATTTGTTTATAAATTACAATAATTTCAACAAAAAATGTTTCATCGATTAAATAAGAATCCAATGTAAATAGTAATGACAATGCGACACCTACCGTGAAAATGCAAAAAGAAACTTAGTTGGTCTCCATTGTAGCATTTTGGTCCGCCATGACAGCATCTTCGTTTTACTTGACCAATCACAGAGAAGCAAAACGAAGATGCTGTTATGGCGGACCAAAATGTTACAATTCCAAATAAGTTTCCTTTTCTATTTTAACGGTGGGTGTCGCATTGGTATTACTTTTTACATTAGATTCTTGTTCAATCTATGAAAAAAAATTGAAATTATTGTTATTTTTAAACAAATAAATTTAAAATATAGAGAATTTTTGTGATAAACGTAAGAAGAATATTTTATGATATGTTTCTTTTTTTTACTCGACCGTTCAAAAATTATGCATGTTGAATGAAGAGCTTATATATTGTCAAGCCAAAAAATGTATCATTGTGGAATGACATAGAGTGACATTTACATCAGCGCCGTATATCGGATTAATTTCGCTTAGCAAAGGGGAAACGTCATACTCGCTCCTTTTCGTAAATTTTGTATGGAGACCCCCATGGGGGTGATGGGAGGGGGTGCCCTTTTTGGTGCAAAATTCCGGACCGAAAAACTAAAAAATCGACTTTGTAGGATTTGACCCCAAATGGAGGGCACTGGGGCTAGACACAATAGTAGATGAAAAAAATAATAATTCTAATAATAAATATCAAAATACTTTTGGCATACTCAATATAAAGGTGTCACACATCATTTAAAGATCAAAATAATTGTAAGGTATTTTGGCACGCTGATTCCGAATTTCGGGGTTTCAGGTAAAAAAAAATCACACCTTGACTCAGTCAAGTAAATAATAATAGGAATTCTTCAAATTTGGTATCTATAGTAAGAGAAAAAAGAAATCCGTTACAAAACATTAAGCATTTTTATCAAAAGTAACAAAAGATATCACCTTTGAAGTATTTCTAGAATACCATAATGATAGATTGGCTCAATTTTCTATCATTTGAAGTATTTTTCGTAGTAAAATTCCAATATTTTACCATATTTCGTTTACTTTTTTTTTACTAAAAATATATCTTTTTAATGGGAATAATTAGAAGAAGAGTCACCCCATCGAGCGGCGTAGTGAAGCGCTGTCCTTTTTTTGATATCTATAGCATTTACATTTGCTCCATGTTCTATAAGACACTTAATTACTTCTGCATGACCTAAAAAGTACGAAAATTGATATGACGTCAAATAAGATCATTTTTTTAAATCTATAAATGAATGAAGTAACCCCAGCGTGCAGCATAGTGCAGAGGAGAACGTTTCAGACTATCTTCAGAATTTACACTCAATCCACGTTCGATTAGACATTTAATTGCATCGATGAGGCCTACATAAATCGAAAATTGATGAAATTAAATGTAAATACTTCGGGAGAAAACTTTTGTTACACAAAAATGACAAATGTTACACAAAAGTGACAAATTTTACACACGCGTGTGACAAATGTTACACAAAAATGACAAATATTACACAAAAATGACAAATGTTACACAAAAGTGACAAATGTTACACAAAGTATCAAATTAGCAAAATAGATGAAATGGTTGGATTGGTGTGTAAAATGCAAATAACGATTTTTTCAAAAAAAAAATATTTTTACATTTTTGAGTTTGGATTTAATTTAACTTAACTAAATAACTTTAAACTCAAAACATACGAGAGTAGTAAAATAATATGTGAACTGGACCATTTTAATTGCGACAACAGCATCCGCCATTTTTATTTTTCATTAGTTCGATTGATTCGTATGCAGTGCGACGAATTTTCTAGAAAATATTTTTTTTTCTTTTCTTCATTTCGTTGTGTTAAATTGCCAGGGATATATCAATGAAATTCAATCCAAACTTGAAAATCTATCGAAACATTTACTTTATTTTTTCCTCTCCTTCATTTCGTTGCTTAAAATTGAAATTAAAATAAAAATTGGAATCCAAACTCAAATATTTTTTTTTTTTTTTGAAAAAATCGGTATTTGCATTTTACACACCAATCCAACCATTTCATCTATTTTGCTAATTTGATACTTTGGTTAACATTTGTCACTTTTGTGTAACATTTGTCATTTTTGAGTAACGTTTGCCGGCTGCCTAAATACTTCTTCTAAATACGAAAATGTTTAGAATTACCATATTGTGCTGTGTAATGGAGCGGATTCTTCACCATCAGCTCACCATCAGCAGTTGCATTGTTTGCATGTATTATTAGACATTTAGCAGTTACAATTCTCTTCAAAAATACCTCAGGATTGTTTATTTCTATTTGTTCGCTCAGAAATTTGATTCCGTATAAATTTCCTATTATGTACGAAAAGTTTATTAAACTTTATTGAAAAAATCACTTTGGTATCATTTTTTTTCGATTTAAATCATTTAGATTGTTATTATTTGACAAATTTTGTCATTTCTTGACATTTTTGGTGCTGAAAATGTTAGAAATTCTTTTTATTTGAATTTCTTAAGGAGTAATGATTCGATCAAATTTATCGTTGCCATTTGATGTGGATTTTGAAAACGACAAAACGATATCGACTTTCGCAAATAAAAATATACACGCGAAACCCCTTCGACACCTTTTAATACTTCAACACAAAAAACTACAAAATATTTACAGAAAATCAATAAAAAAAAACGAAAAATATGTCCAAATTAATAATTTTTTTCGACACCTTTAAATAACATTGAGGATTACCTGTAAAATCGATATCAGGCTGCCGATTTAAATTAATGGGTTCGGCTTTCACTGCGGCACACACAAAAAATGAAACAAGTAAACAATTCATTTTAACCATCCAAATGGAAAAATTGAATACAAACACCGCATAAAACACTTCACGAAGAAAAAAATATGCATAAAATATTCTATATTGTTAAAAAAACGCGTCTGTTCGCCATTGCGTTTAAGAAACAAATAATTTTCTTACATATGCATTTTGTAATGTTTCGATGGTTCTCGAAAAAATGAGACAACTGTTGACACAAAACATCCTGCTGGTTGACCCGGATGAAATGGAGAACGAAAAAAATACAATCTATATGTATTAAGATTACACTATCGTGTCGTTATGTTCATTTTGGTAATTCTTCGAAATTTGAATGGTTTTGTCTTTGCATCACAATCTGCCGTCTTATCACTTTCATGGGCTACTATACGTGAACAACATTAGACACAAGTGCGGCAAACATCAATCAACGATACACCAAAATGGTGATACGTAGGTTGCTCCATATTTTTTTTTAAAATGGTACTTATAGTGTTGCCCGATGTAAACCATTGTCATATTCGTAAAGTTTGATGTTTTGGTATGTATTCGTGCCCTGAACCTTTTGTCGTACGAACGCTATTTGTATTGTTTACAGTGACTGGTAAACTGCGACTCAACAAAAAAATGAATTTTACACGTGAAGATTTTCGTAAAATGATTTACTACGATTTTCGAAGTAAATTATCTCAACAACAGTGTTTCAATCGACTTCATTTGGCCTTTGGCAATGAAGCACCAACCCTTCAGACA